GCTAAAATGGTCTATGTAAGCAATCACCATTCCGCGGGCTCTCCAGGTTTTATCACACATAGCCCTGTAAAAACTGAGCATTTCTCCTGAATTCTGATAATTTAGCGGTGAATAGTGTTATGCTCTTAGCCTCAAAATTAGAATGAATGAATTAGAATGAAACATGCTCATAATAATTGGGCTTCTACACTTATCTTTCTTCTACAGTGTTCGAATAATGCCTAAGGTTTCGGTCATTGAATGAATTCTGGTCTCCTTGGTATTAGATCAACAACGAAATGCACCATTCGCCAAGAATCTGCTCAAGCTAGGCTGGTTATATTTAACGTGGACTGCGCAACCGCATTGACGTCTTTTGCCTTCAAAGTTTCCTTATCAGCTTCTATCAATTGCTATTGTCTTTGTCACCCATCACAATGTCCAGGTACCACCCCACATAACAAAAGTGAAAGAGAAAAGAAACAAAGAAAAGTAGCTGGCGAATGCACATGCGCGTGAAGCATCAAACGCATAGATCTCGCTCAAATTCGTCGCACGGTTTCCGACACGCGGCATGCCGCACGTATGTACGACGTCGCGCGGTGATCCTCCATAGACCCGACTCAACTCACACAGCCATAGCCACCCTCCTGAAATGAATTCGACCTTACTGGATGGTTGTTTATCTACTGGTGGGAAAATGTTATCACAATCACGATATCTCTCGCCTCTAGTCGACCATTTTGCGGAACAGAGTCTATGACTTTTTTTAGGAGCTCTTCATTCATTTATGAACGGAGAATGCGGTCAGTTCCAAGACCAATATTGTTTCTTGTTCTATTACTTTCCACCAATATGATGGCGTTTTGATGTGGGACTTCTCGGCACAAGATTATATTGTTCCCTTTGGGCGCTCGAATACCGTAACCCGCGGTGGCGCCGGAGCGCAGCTGCAAGCCTCCAGCGTGCAACGCTAGCATTAAGGCAGCGACTGCAGTTGGTGAGATACCCGGTTTCCGAGGGCAGCAACCCAAAATTGGAGCAGTGCGCGCGTTTCGCGCGCGGCG